TTTTGTATGTATTTACGCTGCACATATTTGCATTTGTACTCCTTCCAAACTGAGCCTTAGTTTGGAAGGAGTACAAATACAAATATATAGAGCGCAAAACTTTGTATTTTGTATATATTTGTACTGTACATATTTGTATTTGTAGTGTTTCCAAACATATGGACTCCATTTAGAAAGAGTGAAAATACAAATATGTATATGGTATTTCTAAACCTTGTATTTTCACTCTTCCCAAACTGAGCCTATAAATAATTTCATAAAAATTGTTAGGCTGCGTTTATTTGTGATAGAAACATTGAACCAGAGTAAATATGTACCTCAGTTCAACTTTTGCGGCTGTTTGCTTGAGATGAAAAAATGTACTGAAAATCAATGCAAAAATGTAATTAAGTTTGCATTTCCATCAACAATTAATACAAAGCTTACTTTGATAAAACCGAAACAAACTTTGCTTGCATTGATCATCAAGAAAAACAAGTTAGGTGGTCAAATGGGCAGGTAAGGGGCTGATCCTAGTAATGGATGACTCAAATAGGGATGTTCCTTAGTTTACCGTGGGAGCTTGTTTGCACTCCACGTAATTATAGGTTATGGAAAGAGAAAAGTGGGAGAAGAGAAAAGGAGAAAGGCAGAAGGAATTGCCGGCATTGATTGGTTAGAGAGTGATGCAGTAACTGTTATTTGTTTAGTGGGTGTTTGGTGTTGATGTTGTTTTTTGAGAAAACAGTACCATGTAACTACTACATCAGAGAAAGTGTGATCTGGAGCAATGTCAAATTCTATGTTTTTTGAGAAAATGGTGCAATGTAAGCGGTGCATGATATGGCATCAATGTGACATCATCCTGGACGTTGGATAATATAAATTAATGTTGAAAACGTTGATGCCAGCACTGGTACTAAACAAAACCAATATTATTTTCTCATAAAATGTTTATGTGACAGCACCAATTCCAAACAAAAAAATTAACACTTACAACTCCACATATCCATTACCGTTTTTATAAGAAAACGATATGATATTCCCAGCACCAATGCCAAAGACTTACTAATCTGTTCCTCCGAACTGGGGACAGGAAGGGATCGGAGGTGAGTTATAGTTCAATTTCGGGGGCTGGGGGCGATGAACATTGAACAGTGATTTGGGAGAAGTTTCGATTTAAACAACCATTCATATTTTTCATTCTCTTTGTTATTGTTCATATCCAAATTGGATGGGTGCAATTGAATTTCAAAATCTGGTCCTAGTTCGTACATAACTGAACCTCCATATATTATAAATGTACTGTTCTGTTTTGCGTTTGCATCACAAATAGATGCAATCTTACATCGAAACAAATTAAAACAAGAAAAACACAAGGACCAATCAGGACAAAGGAGTATGATTATCTCTCTGGTTTTATGCCAGGTTTGTTCTAGCATATCTAGGCCAACTCGGGCCTGAGTTTGACATTTTTCACCCATTTTCATTCTGGGCCAGACAGTCCATTAGTCCAAGATGCATAGGCTCTCCGGCCATTGGACTGGGTCAAAGAAACGACGCCAATCTAATTTGGTGTCCAATAATTATTGGGCCTTGGTAGGGATCTTGTATTTGCTAAACTCCTTTTTGATAGTTATAGAGTAGAAGCAAATCTGAACAAGCCTCTCAGGTGTGGGTTACCGGGATGCCAATTGCCCGGGTCAATCCAAACAGACAAAACCCTCTTGTCCTGCTACATAAGGTTTAAGTCTATATTTTGAGTCATAATTATTAATAATCACATTAGTTTTGGGTTTATACTTTTTTCAAATTATTAAAAATGTTTTTGCTTCGTGGGGCCACACAACGGGGTAGCCCATCCCTCATCCCCTTAACCTTTGTCGCAGCAGGTTTTGATCCAAGATCTCTGCTACAATGAATCAGAGATTCTATCAACCGAGCCACCACCAGTGTTTAATATCTTAAAAATGTTGATTTATTCAATTTTATTTCAAATCATAGTTCTGAAAATTAAGGGTATTCATGAAAAACCAAAAAATCGAAAAATTGAATCAAATTGAGAAAATCAAACTAGAAAATGCGGTTAATCGAATCGGTTGGTTCGGTTTCAATTTGGTATTTTTGAAAAACCAAAGGATCAGTTCGGTTTTTTGTTAACCTATAAAAAATAGTGGTTAACCAAATTGACCGGTATATATATTTATATGTATATTATATATATATTCTTAATATATGTCACATATTTTTTATATATTATATATAAATATATATTCATTGTATATATAAATATACATATATATTATATTTATAATAATCTATTTATAAATATATTATATATTTGTATAATATTTATAATATATTATATATCATTTATTATTTATAATATAATATTATACATACATTTATATATTATATATTATAAATATAAAAACCAAAAAACTGAAGACCCGAACCGGTCAAAACCAAAACTGATGGACCACTTAACTGGTGGTACCGATTCGGTTTGCAAAAATTGCCTATGATTCAGTTAACCAAACTGTGAACACCCCTATTAAAACCAGATTGAAAATGAAACCATTTTGACCACCAATCCTCAAATCAAATGGTTTAGGATTCAAAAACTGGACCTGGACCTATGACCAGGTCTTGGGTTAACTGGTCCAACTACCCAGTCTGGTCCAGTTTTCAAAACCATGCTTCAGATACATGTATTATGCTAGTAAATAGGGTTTTATCATGATAGTGGAAATATATGATATTATAAAAACTTATAACCAATCAACTATGAGAGAAATAGTAACCAATCAGATGGTATTTATCAAAATTCGCAAGTGGTTTTAATTGATCAAAGCTCTTTTAATATCACGTCTTTATAGCACTATAGCAGCATAGTTTTTTCCTAGTAAAATTTGTAACTTATAATGTTTAAAATATAATTAATAATTATTTTCTATTTTTTTTTCATCTTTTTGTTTCTGTTTTGCACTATGAGATCAAACTGGACCATTGGCAAATGACCCAATACCAAAATGATTCTACAGCCAATCTGACTGAGTCGAACGTTACTGATTCCAATGGTAATGGGGCCAATATTGGGTTTACCTGTTCCAGCCTAATCAAGACCCTGACGATTATGTATGTACATTGGTAGGATCTTATGGAGTAAGACCTGATAAGGCTGGTTAATTGGATAAGTTCTGGCCCTTGTACGATTTGGTTTTGGAATTGGGTCTGGTCCGTCTATTATGGTCAGCCGATACCCGAACCAGTTATAGTCATATCTCTGGTTGGGTGAAGAACTGAAGATGATCATGACCGACCACTGACTAACTGTATTATGTAAGGAGTACAACCTACGGGTCGGGCTGGGTTAGGTTAGGTTGAGGTTAATTATAGTCCAATCCAAGGTTTTGAAACCTCAACCTTAACCTTAATCTATCCTGACCAACAATCTTTTAACTCTAACCGAACCTAAAATCTCTCAACCCTTTGGTTTGGGTTCGATCATCATCTCTAACTCTGGTTTTAATATAAATTTCCATCCCCAACCCCCACCCTATCAGGGATATATATATAGTTGATATTTGATTGTTTAATGTTTTTATTGGCTTTTTAGTAGGATTGTTAATGAATCAGGTTGAACTTGATGAACCCAAACCAATTGAGCCAATTTTAATTCCTAATATATTATACCGATTCATATTGGTTTGGAACCGGTTCCATCCAGTCCTGAATTGATTCAGACCCAACATATATATATATATATAGACACATTAAATGTATAATATATTAAATAAATTAATATTATATAATATTTTCAATAGATTTATTATAATCGAGTCCATCGGGTAAGACCTAATTATTTATAGAACTGATTGGTTTAGTTCTAGGTTTAAAATTACAGATCTTATTGAGTCTAATTTGATTCCAGATCTTTGATATTTTCAAAAAAGTACTAATAGACCCAATATAGATTTCTGATTTTCACCGCAGAGCTATAAACATTCAAAATAGTAACAACCCACATTTTATGCATCCATACCCACATGTGAATTAACATCACTTCCGAACTAACACCTGGCCCAATAGTACTTTGGACCTGGATGAATCATCATTCTCCCTAATATTTTTTATTGGGTCAGACTCCCTTTCTACCCGGACTCAATCCGTTTGCATCCCTACTTTTAAGTACAAAAGTGAAAAATGACAACTTATTATTGAGGTTGGTTTAAAATGGTTTATTATAATTCAGTCGATCCGATCAGACACAATTGTTTCTATAACCGATCGATTTGATTATGGTTCTAAAATTAAGGTAAGATTCTATTCCGGATACTTAATATTTATTATTGAGTTGGTCTCTCCAGTTGTAGATAGGCCCGACCCGTTGACATTTTAATACAAAAGTGAAAAGGGCAACTTTATTACTAAGATCGGTTTTAATAGAGATCGGCTTAAGTCAGTGCAAGGCCCGTTCGAACAGCCATCGGAAACATCTCCGCACAGGGCTTTCAGCTGTGCAATGACTGAATCCGGTTTCGGTTTTTAATAGTTAAGACAAATGGATATAGCAACAGTAGAGGTGGGTTCCCCAATCCAAAGTGGAGTTGGGTTAAAACAAAACATAACCCTCCAGGCTAACCCGGCCCAAGGACGAAATGGCAATTCTTATTATCTGCATTGATCTCCACTTGCCACTTGGACACTTGCAACTCCTTTGGTTGGAACTTGGAAGGAGAGACTCGTGGCGCGCACATTTGAAAGATTGGAATTACTAAAATGGCCTTGGTTAGAAGTACAAGTACTCACATCACTGCTTTTACACGTGCTTGGTTAGAACATAATTACGAAAATGACCCTTTATAAAAAGACTTAAATGCTCTTAAAGTGGACACGTGTCAAAAGGACATTGTAGAATACACTTTTAATCCTACTTCCGACAGTGTGATTGGCATCCTTCTTCAAAAAAAAAAAAAACATAAAACCGCTGATCCCAACGTCTTGTTTGACTTTGACAATCCAATCCAAGCCGGAGAGATTTCTGTGCTGCGTCTTCGTTTTCTTTGTTTATTCCATCCATCTTAACATCACAATCGGTCTATGCATGCTTTATCTTTTGAATATTCTTTACCCGAATTTCCGGATGTGCCCCCTTGGTCTCAGATTCTTATACACCTCAAATTCGCCGCCCAAGATCCGCCATAGATGCAGGTGATCTATTTCGAGTCTATAGGCTTCCCTTCTTATAAGTTATAGCTATAATGAACCAGAGGACCCGTGCATCGCGTCCTGTCCGTCGATCTAAAGAGTTACTACCTTCAAGGCACCCAATAGAGATGAAGTAAGTTGAATGTTTTTTTTTTTCGGTTCAACTAATATCTGTTTATTATTCTCTTCCCTTTTTTGACCGGTTGTTTGTTTTGTTTCTAATCCCTGAGTTTCTGTATCCTGTTATATGTTTTTCTTTGTCGACTGTTTTGAGTTTCCCCACTTTTCGTCATGTTTGTGTGCTTGTTTTTACTGTTCAATCCATGATGGTTGGAAAATGGATCCAATTGTAGTGTTTCTGTTTTTTTTTTTTTTTTTGTCTTTATGGTTGTAATAAATAAGTGCCAGGTAGAATGATTTTCAGACTCATATATGTTAACATTTGTTGATTAAAATACGAGAATTCCCGCGAAATTTTGCAAGAGGTTGTTTTGGTTACTCTATTTCAGTATTTCTCCACGTAATATTTTGTGCTGAAAAAAGGAGAGGTCTTTCAATAGGATTTTGCAGATAGAGTGATATGATATCTCAGAGCCATGCGCCTTACTGGTCCCTCATGAGCTTTGCTTTTGTTCCTTCTTGCTAATTAATTAAATATGCGTCTAATGTTTTGTAAGCCCTCGCACATAACCTCATTCTTCGAGGAAGGTAGTTGCTTTATTATCAGCACAGGTTTTCTGATTGGTGTTTTGCCCATGAAACTGACTATCTTCAAGATGCATTGGCCTGGTCAATGTTGCATGGGCACGAGCACAGAGTCGGAATCCGACGTGTGTTCAAGAGTCTGACTCCACAATATGAGCAAACATGGATTTACAGACATGTCTATGGACAAGTATATACTATTAAAATGATTCATATTTTTGGAACTCTAACATTATATGCCTGCAAAAAAAATGTTGCCTTTGTTACTAAGCAGCATTTGATACAAAAATTCGCATTCATTTTGTACATTAGATATTCATTCATGACAAATAACTTAGGACATAAAAAAAGGGAAATTGTTACATTTATAAAAAAAACAAGGGAATTGTTACGTAGAAATATCTTCAATAATCTTGGACTGTCGGGATTCAATGCTTGCCCATTTAGCAGAGACTAGGCAACACTGGGCCTGGTACTATTTCAGTATAATGCCTCTATTTCTTGTTCCCAATGGTTAAGGTATCGGCGGACAAGGTAGGGTGACAGTGATTTCTGGAAACAACATCATATCTGTGGATTTTTATCATTCATATCATTATTTCCTTCATCAAAGCAAATGAAAGAAACAGAAGCATTACACATGGAAAGAAAAACAAACAATTTACTTTCACATGTTTCTGACCATTTTCCTTTTATAGAAGTGATAAACTTGGCACACTATACTCTACCAAGCATAGATAGATTGTTTTTCTATCATCTGTTCAATATCTTGGCCAGCCTTTTAAGGCACTAGGATGCGAAGGCTTCCACTGGTCAATATGGGAGATGGGCCCCTTCAAAATTTGCTGCCTTCCTCACAAGAAGGCACACTCAAGGTTATTATGTTGCAACTTTGATCAAATGCATCCGTTTTTCCTTTTAGAAACTGGAAAATTCCCTAGTTGATTTTTTTTCACAATTAACCAACCTTCTCTTGCAAAAGTTGCTGCCCACATAGATGAACAAAAGCTTTAGAATGTGAGGTACTCACTCTTGACGACTAAACAAATGCAAACTTTGATTTATTCAATATTCCGATATAGGAGATGACTGTAGGATATCTAGGGTCTTTTGAAAAACTAGCTATTATAGCTATGATGCCCAGATACAGATAGGCACAAATTTGAAAAATGGATATGCAACTCTTTTTCCTAAAAATTCAGATATAGATACAGGTCTGGGCATTCCATCTGATGTGCTTATATCTAATTCTATATGTAGATTTTGAAGCCAAGTGTCATTTCTTAAAATTTATATATTTCTAAATCTAATTGAACTTCGAATATTTACATACTTTTTATACTCTTATTTGTTAGAGCATACCATTTTACATATTCAAAAGTGTTAATGTTATACTGTTATGTACTCTAGAAGTGTCTGTACAGTATCCAGCATCATATGAGATATGTATCAATTCCACATGCTGGCATGTATAGCTATTTAGGTATCATACCAGAGCATTGTGGTAAGAAAGCACTCTTAACAGATCGAAATTAAGAATATTTCCTTTATAGATCCTTCTTTCTTTCACAAGAAAATTTAGAAATTCATAGATGCAGGGAAGAGAGTTAACTTATATAGAATGGTATCTGTTTTCATCATATGGCTGGTCTGTTTATGCCTATATACCTTCAATAATATGTTTCTGGACTTTCTCACTGCTGAACTATATGCCATGCTTTTTTTTTTCTATGTTCCAGGAAGTATTTTGAAAATCTTATTGTGTTTGTGCATTGTCTTCCATATGCTGATATGTATACTTTTATTGGTTTCTCACAGAACAAAGAAGATATTTGGAATTTCCCTCTCACTTATTCTTATTAACATGGCTGCAATAATGGAACGTGCTGATGAGAATCTTCTCCCAGCTGTTTACAAAGAAGTTAGTGAAACTTTTGGTGTTGGACCTACTGATCTGGGATACCTCACATTTATCCGGAATTTTGTTCAGGCGATGTCATCACCCTTGGCCGGGATATTGGTTCTTCATTATGACCGCCCCACAATTCTTGCAATGGGCACTGTATGCTGGGCATTATCAACAGCCGCAGTAGGTGTCAGCCAGCTTTTCATGCAGGTTGCATTCTGGAGAGCAATAAATGGCCTTGGACTGGCCATCGTTATACCAGCACTTCAGTCTTTCATAGCTGATAGTTACCTTGATGGTGTGCGAGGGACTGGATTTGGGGTGCTGAACTTTGTTGGTTCTGTGGGTGGAATAGGAGGTGGTGTCCTGGCAACAGTTATGGCTGGTCAGGATTTTTTTGGAATGCCTGGATGGCGCTGTGCCTTTGTTATGATGGCATTATTGAGTTCACTAATTGGGTTCCTTGTCTTTATTTTTGTTGTTGATCCAAGAACGCGTAACATTAGTCATGGATCAAGTGAGAGCTCTGAGAGGTACCAACTATTTTCTTGAGCTTCCTGAAAGTTGAGATCTGATTAACCATTGCAATCTATTTGCATTAGTGCTAAGTAATTTGGATACTCAATGCAACTAACCCCAACTCCAACTATTTGGATAAGCTACAAGAATCTTGCTCCACAATTCTGTCTCTTCTTACTGCTTCCATCCATGTCCTTTCTTTGGGTTTCCCCATATTCAATATATTCATTTCTAATTTTGTTCTCCCAAGTGTTGCCATTCATTTCTCGGTGAGATGTGAGAATGTGGATTCAAGTCATTGGCCAGCCACTTCATGCTAAAATGCTCAAGGTTAGGTCTGAATCCAGTCCACCCCTCCCAAGATCCTAGATAGCCAAGAATAACATTGGGTAATGGCCTTTGTTCAAGTCTTGCCATGCATCCATCTTAACACCCCCATCTTTGGTACCCTTTTGCTATGTAGACATAGTTGTCAAGGTGATGCCTAGGCAGGCGCCCTTGGAGTCTCACCTTTGCATAATTGCCAAGCAGTTTTCTATAGCGCGTTATAACAAACTTTTATATTCTAAATTTTTTGAGGTTATAATTATAAAATAGACATTTTTAAACTAAAATATTCATTTGTATGTTTATATACTAATTTCTTTTTGTTATTTTCTTATTTGTTAGGATTTAATCAACACAAACATTGCTAAATGCTGTATTGAACCCTCAAAGACTTCAAAACCTGAACCAATAAGTAAGAAAGAACATAAAATATTGTCCAATCAACACATTTTCTTCTTTTTCTTCTTTTCTTCTTTTCCTATAGCAGAAATAGGGGTTCAGCCCCTATATTTTCGGATTTTCTTTTCTTTCTTCTTTTTATTCTCATGAATATGTTGAAATATGTTGATTTTCTATACTTTAACATGAAGTTTATACTTTTCTTATGAAAATTATGGATATTTATTAAGGAAATATGATTATGGAACCTAGGGAACTACCCTAGGATACATGTTTTTACTTAAAAAAAAAATCCATCACCTAGGAGACTAGGCAACTAGGCGCCCCCCTGTCGCCTAGCCTCGCCTTGGCGCCTTGAAAACTATGTATGTAGGTATTCTTAACATTTTGATTGTATAGCATGCAGATTACTATAGTATTCTTTTAAGATTTTTTAACCAGTGTAATTTGTCACATAACATTGCAAAAGTACACATTCACTTCATTCATGTTTCTTTAATCCTATGGCAGCACTCTTATCCTTGCTCACTTCGTGGGTTAATTGAACCTAGCATTGAAAATCATCATGTTGGGGTATTTGTTGAGCCGAGTGTAAGTATGGAGGTGAGGCTAGGTAGGGTGGTCTCTTTGAAGGACGAAGAAGGATCAGGACTATGGCCGCAAAGGGGAGATGATGGGTATGCTTTCGCCTGTTGAGAGTTTCAATAGAGTCGGGGGTGTGAGAGCAGTAAGAGAATGTGTTCCAATTATACTTTATTCCCCTCCTTTTATAAGGGGGATCCCAAGACTTTATGGATAAGTATTCCAAAAAAGGTTTGATTCCCATTAGGAAAGGGGATCCTCCTCTTTATGTCGGTTATCAAAGAGATGCCACTAGGGTTTTGCCATGTGTCTAACGAGATCCTCTAAGGACAAAGTTTCCTTTCCCCTGGCCCCTGAGGATTCTCGTCTGGCACGTGCAGGCTACACCCCATCATGGGTTTCCTCATGGCCACATGGCAAAGGCGGGACTTGGGGTCTAACTAGCGTGTTTGGTTGTGTGCTCAATTGCCCTTGAGGCACTGCGTCACAACTTCCTCGAGCCTTAGGTTTAGGGAAGCTCTTTGGGCTCATAGCAAGCTCAAGATAGCTTATTGAGCTTATTGCAGACTCGGGATGGCTTTCCGAGCTCACTGCAGGTGTATATGTGGTTCTGTTTCAATGCTTTCATCATGATTACGGCAATGGAGGATTACATGTACTTACACTGAGCACCAAGTCTTATCATTTACTCATTCATACTAATTGTTTACTAAAGGGTGCACTCTTTATGTTTTTTAGCTTATCTTGAAAATTTTTTGTTCTAAAGCACCTTCCTGTGGACTGACCCAGGTTAAGGGGTCAGCCAAAGTCTAGATCATCGAACAAGTTTTGGTTTTAAGTTGGGCCAGGGTCCAAACCAAGCTGAATCTGTTGAACCTGTATCCAGCCCTATCTAATAAGATGGACCTTAGGCCATGGTAATTCTTCAAGGGATGGACCTAATGGCAGTATTACAAGGATTCAAGCTGGCAAAATCATTCGACTTTAGAATTATGTTAGTTAAAGGAGATTCAAAAGTGGTGGGGATCTGGCTTAAAAATTATGTCCTAGTCCCATAGCAGTACAAAAATTATGTGCGACAGAAAGGGATATGGTTATCAATATTAATTGGATACATAGATCAGCCAATAGGCTAGATGGCATTATGGCAAAATATTGGGTTAATAGAGAACATCTGTTTTGGGGGTTGATGGGGAATATGTAATGTAAAAGGATTTGTATAGTAAATAGAAAAAGAAGGGTGAGGTGGTAATGCCTAGCTTAAGATGGGGGGTGCCTAGCATCTTTGTATATATCTCATTCTGTACTTTCATAAAATTTTAGTTGCCAATTAGAAAAAAAGAAAAAGAAATATGGGCCTTAAGCTGGACCTAGCTCTCAGAACATCCCTATCTCGACTTCCTAGGATGAACTATATGAATCCTATTTTGCAATTCCACTCTATCAAGATCTATATTCTCTGTTGAATTAAGGTCCCACAAAATATTTCTCACTGCATTAACTTGTGTCCTTTCCGCCTCCCTCTTGCTCTTCTAGAACCATCAACTTGCATAAGACCACTTATTTTTGGTGTATTAGGTACTCTTCTATGCACATATCCAGACTATCTTAGTCTACTTTCATAGATACCCTCATATTCTCAAAAATATGCTCATTTCTAATCCTATGATCCTATTCATTCTAGACTTTTGGGTTTTGCACTTATCCACCTCAACATCCACATCTCTGCTCTTAATACCTTTATTTAATTTTTTCTATATGTGATACATCTACCTATATACATATAGATGTCAATGTACAGTCTGTATGTATCCCACATAAGATATACTAAAAACTACATACGCGTGCTTATGTAGGTTGTCTCAAGGTCAGCCAAGATCAGCAGGGGCCTAGCCAAACCAAAATATAGTCTATGCAAGTTAGGCTTTGGCCTAGCCTGGCCTAATTTATATCTTGCTTCTACCTTGTGTATTTAGCCCTCTAATTTATATAATATGTATCACGTACTCACTACTATTCTTTAGAGAAGTCTAAACAATGGCTTGGCTAGTAATGGGTGAGATTTGAAAGAGCTTCAGATCTCTTATGGCTGTGGACTGTGGAAAGGCATATACAAATCCAATGGGGGAGAGAACCAGTTTCAGGAAAGACTCTGTGTGCTGATTTCCCCCTGAAGGACTTGTTTCATTCTCTGTTGCAGGCTGGCAGCAGTAAGGATATCTCTGTGGCTGATTCATACAGCTTTTAATGGGGGTAGACTGGTGTGGAACCCCTTATTCAGAAGCCATTTCAACGATTGGGAGTTAGGGCAGGTCGCATCACAGAGATGTTTTTTCAGTAAGCTCCTACAAGATAAATCTATCTAGAAGAGGTTAGACTTGGTATCCTATGCCCTCTGAATGATCAGCAGGCTGAGACATCTAGCCTTTTATTTTTGCATTGTGGTTTCACTTGCAGGGTGTGGTAGCATTACTTTCAATGTATTTATCTTGTGGGTTGCCATCCAAAATCAATGCCGAACACTATAGAATGGTGGGATATAAAGGGTATATGTAGAAGGGGTAAAATTTGCTGGGCTGCAATTCCTATGGCTGTTATTTGGGCTGTGTAGATAGAGAGGAACAAGGGGGTGTTTCAGGAAAAGGCAAACTCTGTAGAGGCTGTAATTAATTCATCCTTTGATTTACTAAGAGACTGGTTGAAATCACAATTTCTTTGTTGATATTACGAGCCACAGTTTCATGGCTTTGGATTTAGTCTCCTTAGTTGCCCTATGACTCTGTACAGATCCTGATTGTACAAAGGGCTTTAATTACTTTATTTTTGTGAATAATATAATGAATCAAGAATTTTCTTATTACATTAATACAGTTTGACCCATACATTCCCATGAAAATTCATTGTCCTTGCGACAAGTTTTAGCACACTAAAGGGTTGTAACATTAAGCACTTTTTTCCTAGGAACAGTTTTGCAACTAGGTCATTTAGCAGTTCATGTGGCTACATTGGTTGAGGGCCTAAAAGGGCCTTGCATGTTCCTTTGACCATCTCCTACTCGTATAAGTTTCAGGGCTTTTGCCGATACATACAGAATTAACATTGTGTTTTTTTTTTACCAAGTGGCTGCTCCCATACCTGTTTTCTGACACATATCAGTCTGAAGTTTTATCATTAGACCAAGCAGTGGACCCTAGACATCCTCTTTCAGGGCATGTTTTGAATTCAAAATTGGAAATTCTGACAGTTAATTTCGTTTGGGAGGTCTCTCCAGTACAAGTTAGGGTCTCGGCTCTAGGGTTCACATGGAATGTTGGAACGAACACATTATCAATTCAAAGGGGTCCCTTGTATCATCTGGGTGTTCTGGATTGGTAACATCATTCTTCCATGAGGCAGAAACAGAGGTGGGTCTTGTAAGCAAAGGCTATTTGATCCGACTTATGCTACTAACTTTTCCATGTATAGACATGTCTAGATAAATATTATTGATCAGGTAGATCTTTAACCTTCTAAAATTATCTAATATGGCACTGGTATTGGTGCAATGAGTATGATAAGTCACTGTTCCATTTGCAGGGATGATTTGGTAGAGAAGGGCGGTGCTAGTACATCATCAATTTGGGCTGATTCCTGGATGGCCATGAAATCTGTTATGAAGGTTCAGACATTTCGGATCATTGTATTGCAGGGAATTGTTGGTTCACTGCCATGGACAGCCATGGTGTTCTTCACAATGTGGTTTGAACTAATTGGTGAGCATGGCAATATCTGGCAAATGGCATTACTAGATGTATCAAGTGCAATAAAAATTGAAATTGGAGATGATATCTTGCTACAAATACACAACAATCCAGATTACCTCAATTAGAGTAAAATACTATAACAACTATAGTAGAGTTAAAAAAAAAATTATACTAGAGTTAAAATAATGTGATGAAAATTATACAATTCTTGAGATAATAATCCTTCTAATTACTAAATGAGAAGCATTATGAGAATTTTTCCTAGTGTACTGATTTCATCCCCAGAATCCAAGTTTTGGAATGGCAGATCCTGCTCAAGATACTTGATCAATTATAAGAAGAATACGTTAGATCCTTTGGACATGCTACATTATCTGCTGTTGCATACAAGAAACAAAAAAGAAATGCTATCTGCCCTTCTAAAAAGATTACAGGATTAAGAGATCCTTGATTATTCAATCAGCAACATAACTAGGATTGTCCAATTGATCCATTTTGACCAAATGCATGTACATTGCAGAAGATGAATGTGCAAAATTCAGTTGTATGCACATTTTGCATAAATAATCTTGCATCAACTATACTGTACATATAAGATATTTGCTTAACATATGATTTCATTGGATTCTTTTTTGCAGGTTTTGATCATAACAAGTCAGCTGCTCTCCTCAGCCTTTTTGCTATTGGATGTGCTATAGGGTCCCTGCTTGGTGGATTAGTAGCTGATCGGATGTCAAGTATCTATCCACATTCAGGTCGTATCATGTGTGCCCAGTTCAGTGCTTTCATGAGTATACCATTCTCATGGTTCCTCCTTACAGTGATCCCACAGACGGTAGATAGCTGGTTCACCTTTGCCACCACTCTTTTCCTGATGGGACTCACCATCAGCTGGTGTGGCACTTGTGCAAATAATCCTATATTTGCTGAAGTGGTCCCTCCAAAACATCGTACCATGATATATGCATTTGACCGTGCCTTTGAAGGCTCCTTCTCTTCATTTGCAGCTCCAATTGTTGGAATCCTTGCAGAGAAGACATATGGGTATGATCCCCAATCTGTGAATCTAGTGTCAGGGTCCAGCAAAGAGGCATTTGCACTCTCAAGAGGGCTTTGCTCGATGATGGCAGTTCCATTCGCTTTGTGCTGCCTTTTTTATAGCCCCTTGTATCTCACTTACAGGCGGGACCGTGAAAATGCTAGAAATATAAGCTTGAAGGAGCAAGAAATGACATGAGAAGCTTTACCCGCATTCCACGGGTATCGGTATTGATTATCTTGTTGTAAAATGAGTAAATGACTGGCGTTAGATGTGGATATGCTCTAACTTTTTCGACTTCAGACTGTCGTCTCGGAGGTGGTGGAATTGCAAGTATCCCGTACATCTGCGGAACTTTTGCATTATTTGCTGAGATCCAGTAGCGGATTTGTGATTTTATGTTTTACATTTGATGGGAAAAGCGAGTGCTGTAGGTGATAATGTAAATTCAGAGGCAACTGTCTTCTGATCGTTGAAATCACTGTTTTATTCCAGGATCTCGGATTCTCAGGTAACAATGATGTTTCAAATTCTCCCTTGTACATACAGCAACAAATAAAGCATTGATTTCAACTCCCCCCCCCCGGGGTTTTCCATCAACCCCTTCCAAGTGTAACACTATAGGGTCCACAGTAAGTGATTACCCGCTTGCGTGAACCCAATAATGTAGCTCAATCACAAAGGAAATTCTAGAGATGTAATTACAGGAAGGGAATCTGAAGCTGAAGTGTATAATTTTATTTGCCTCCACTCAATAAATTAAATTTGTTTTTAGATTATAAGCAAATTTGTTCTTAGCATACAATAGCCTCAAAGAAGCCTCAAGCAAGGCTGCTAATAGGTGTAGAATAAAAGAGCAACGAACCAAGTTCGGTTGAACTGAAACGGCAACTATACGTTTGTAGCATGAAAGGCATACAAGCCTCCTCTTCTGTTGTCTCAAGCCCAAATTTTCCCCATGCTCCACTTCCACATGATGTAAACAAAGAAAAAGGAAAAAATGTCTTTCCCACTTTCCCAAAACCAAATAATTGATAAATCGTTTATTGATATAACTTTTATTTATTTAATAAAAGTTTGTACTTAATTTGTCTTCAAAACCAAATACTTGATAAATCGTTTATTGACAACTAGACACCACATCAATAGTTGAATGAATAAATGCTTAACAATTGGGATAAGTGTTAAAATGAAGTTTCTCCCAACAGTTTGGTGCATACATAAATTAAAACCCACTTTTGTGAATATAATAAGTATGTATAAATATGATAAGAAAATGCTGATTTGGTGATGCCATGGCGACGTTTTGATAAACGCTTATCATGAAACATCTGTGGAACAAAACACATGCATTATCACAAACGTTTAATGAAGTTACATCAGGGCATTCAAACACGTTTCTGTGAGTTTCAGTTGTGGGGGCTTCCAAGAAGTTGATATGCCTTACTTTCATACAGGAAGAAAATTGGCCATAGTGGAGATGCTTTTCGACCAAATTTACAGCCTCTGGAGCTTGAAGCATTGAAACTATTATTTCAACTGAGGCTCGATGTCACCCACTCACCACTGCTACATGCACCTATGGAAAAACGTCTGACCCACATATCCACCAGCCATTGCCCTTCTCACATTGGATTCAAACATCTTAGGATTGTCCCTCAAGACTGCAGCTGCATCATGATTCAGGGGGTCCTCATGATTGGGTTGCTGAAAACAGAAACGCAATCAATAGGTTAGTGTGATCACAACCAGAAAGACCAGCCCGGATGAGCTGGAGACAAAATCATGCACACTGGGTTGGGCTACCTATCACGATTGAACACACCAGCTACCTATCATCTACTGAACACTGGCATGATTGGGTCCAATCGTGATAAGTAACCCAGCCCGGTTTGCATGATTGTCTCCAGCCAACCCAGGCTCCATAAAGACCAACGTCTACAAGAATCGCATACCGTGAAAAGGTGATTTAATCCATAGATTATAGTATTTATATTCAGAACTGGTTTCCAATCTTCACGAAGAATGTTGAGACAGACATTTCCCTCCAAGTCAATGTTAGGATGGTAGACCTGTAATGCGGATGCCATAGAATACCATATCATAACAATGAAGTAACATTGAGACAACACAGAATTTATTGGAAGGACCATGCATCCCACCTTTGTCTTGCACTTGACCTTTGGTGCCTCATGAGGGTATACAGGGGAGACTTGGAAAGTGAAAACAAATATACCACCTCTGTGTCAACAACAAATATTTTCAATTATTATATGAAAATAATACAAAAAAAAGTTTCATATAACATCAAAAAAGGCTACCTTGCACTGAATTATTTAAAAAAAAAAAAACTATGCCAAATAATTAAAAGGCACAAAGGTGCCTGCAAAAAATTAAACTCACAAATAATATCCTTCATCTGGCCGAATGGTTATCTCAAAGTTCATCAGGTCATCCTTTCCGTTGGGGAATGATATGGTAGTTGTTTTTGGTAGGTTCAGCTCACTGATATCTATGACATGAGAAATGCTAAACCCAAGTAAGAAACGTCAATACGTTACAATCTGATATTAGGAATTAGAAAGGTAAGATAATAAGATGATTTTGACAACATCAAGGACATGTATGAGGTGATAATAACTAGCTACTATAATAACCTAATAACACTTATTGATATATAATATGAATGCTCTCATATTATAAATGTATATGTTTCTATGGGAATAAGGCAACCGACTCGAGAGTTTGGCCTCCAAGAACCAATTTGTACATTGTGATAGTTTTCATTATCAGCTTCAAGTTAAAAAAGATTTGAGAATGGACAATAGGAGGAAGAAAGGACATGGATTAAGGTATTAAAAATATCAAAAACCACAAGGGGAATCTTCATTTACCCCCACCTCATAAATTTTTACTTCGCTGTGCAATTGGGAAACAGTGACACTAGGAGTAGTGATGCCAATACAGGGGTAGGGTGCCATAAGGGGGGTATTGGAAGTTTTAAATTGTTGTGTATGGTGAAGTAAAAATTTGTGGGGTGAGTTTCAGTGAGATTTTTCTGAAGCACAATTTCTTAGAAGAGATGGTCCTAGATCAACTATGAGAATGAAGGAGAATTCATGCATCCCACCATCCCAAATACTTAAATAATAATGGTGACAATGATATTTCCAAGTATGCAACCCAATTTTGGCAATGGAATTTCAGAAAAATAGGTAGGCCTAGTTGATCAAGAGATGATAGTTTCAGAGAGCATTACCACTAAACAAAGACCGAATATAATGTTTGCAATCAAAAAAAGGGGACAGAATTGAATGTTTCTCATAGCCAAACTGCTCTAGCATGTGGAAAACTGCCTAAGCTCCGTTTAGTTGTGCAAGAAAAGAAAATATTAGATTATTTTTATCCCTAGCCACTAAGCCACTAATCTGATATTTTTATTTTTCTGGCTTGATAACTTCCCTGCACTACATAGACTTCCCAATTATTGAGCCAAAAAACAACTTAATTGGAAAATATGAGTTATATACATAAGTAGATTACACCATACAAATCTCCTTTTCTTTGAAAAAAAAAAAAAAAGATAATTCAATGCACCAAAGAAGTGTTTTCTTGCATGTCCCAGACAACCAAATGAAAACAAAAAATAGAAAATTCAAGTTACAAGCTCTTGACGATATAAATGCAAGAAAGACAATACTATACTAACCACTATATATGGTAATTATACTTTTCCGTATATGCTTTGTAAAGAGTAAACAAAATGGTCAGCTATACCTTTCTAGGTGTTTTTTGTCCAATGGAATTTCCTTCATTTAAAAAATTAAACTACATAACATTACCTTTATCTAACAAAAGAAAGGAAAAAAAGAAACTACAAGTGGCACCAAACTAATGTCCACTAGAATGAAATCAAGCTAATAAAAGTTAAATAATTAACTACCAGAAGATTTTCAAAGCAAAAGCAACATATGAGAGGAACCATAGCTTGAAGGGTAAGGGTTCAGTCACCAACTCCTTTTCGCAATTATGCCATAGCAAGCAAATAAGGTTCTTGGAAAAAAAACTCTGACATAAAAGCTTTTCAGTTACTGATAAAAAAGAATCTTGAAAATATCCTTATTATGGTTGGCTAAGAAAGCAACTTTCTAATATGGGCAGGTCCTAGACAACAACACAGACCCTGAGGGGCCATCTCCCCCCCCCCCAACAACAACAAGGAGGCCCCCCTACAAATCCCCAAAAATTTTTAGATTTCAGCAGCACAACCAGGTCTTGGTGCTGGAAATCCTTTACAACCAAAACCCAGGAGACAAGTTTAGCAAACGACAAAGTTATTAGCTCATAAACTGCAGGAATTGAATGCCAAACACATTTTCCTTTCTTATTCAGGCCCAGAAGGGTCCAGATCCATGACAGCTCCTTGATGGACCTTGGCATAGTCCAGCACACCCCTACAGCTTTTAGGAAATGCCACCAGAGTTGGGAAAGAAAAGGACAATGAAGAAAGAGATTATCACAATCTTTTTTTTTTTTTGATAAATGAGTAAGGTTTTATTAAACCAGCAAATAAGTAGAGATTATCACAATCTTCGGTAACAAGATCACAAAAATTACAATTCACATCCTGAATCTGTACCCCCTCCCCCTCATTACCAAACTATCCTTTGTCACTTGTTAGGCACCTATTCAGCACAGCAGCCCAGACCAAGACATTGATCTTTGTGGGGGAAAAGGTTCCAGGCCCTATTTGATGGAAAGGTTACAAGATTGTTCTCACTTCTCAGACAGCTTGTGGGCAAGAGACTTCACAGAGAACATACCATCAGAACTCCAACTCCATCTCCAATCATCTCCCTCGCTAAGGTTTACAGATTGACTAGAAAGCTGAGTAAGCATCTCAGCAAAGAACTCCACCTCCCAATCTTGAAATCTTCTTCTAAACTTTGGAGACCAAATAATATTATTACCTAGGGATTCCACACAGTCAGCAACCATGGCTCTTGGTCTTCAGCAATTTCAAACAAAGTGGGGAAGGTTTCAGCCAAAGGGGTATCTGAACACCAGGGATCTTTCCAAAACTTATTCTAGTTCCACTATCCACCTTATAATTAATACCCCTGCAGAAGCTAGGGAAACTTTGATAATACCTTTCCAGATATAACAGCCCAACATTGGCAAAGAGGATGCTGTGGCCTTTTCAGCAATCAAACTTCTCCACCAGCTATCACTTTCCACTCCGAACCTCCACAACCATTTACTAATAAGGGCTTACTAAACACTTCAATTCTCCTGATACCCAGACCTCCCTTATTTAAAGGAAAGCAAACCCAGTTCCAGTTAAATAGGTGGATTTTCTTCTCTCCCCAACCCGTCCAAAGAAAGTCTCTTTGCAACATTTCTATTCTTTTAGCTACTTTCACAGGAATTGGGAAGAGAGAAAGAAAATAGGTTGACAGATATGCCTATGTGCTCTTAAGGAGAATGATTCTTCCACTAAGTGATAAGTACTTGGCCTTCCAAGAGGTGAGTTTCTTTTTCAAACAGTCTAATACCTGGCTCCCAAATAGCAGTGGATGTACATTTTGCACCCAAAGGAAGGCCCAAATACTTAGTTGGAGAGTGCCCACTTAACAAGCCAGAGTATCAGTCAACTCCACATTCTCAACATTCCACTCTTAGACCTGAATCTTCACCCTCCTCACAGACCTTCTTGTCAAGCTGGCACATAGCCACCATGAGTTCCTATAACTCTTTCCTTCTCTCCAGCAACCCCCTGACACCTCACTCTCTTCCTCTTCCACTAATATCACCATTGTTTTGCTGGTCTCCGGTCCCAACCCCACAACTTGGCCCCTTGTCTTCCACCCCATCTTCTTCAAGCAAACTCTTCCTTGCTTCCACATAGGGTTTTCTCTCCTGCCAAATCCAGACACAAAAGGAAGCCTCTCCTACCACAATCTCTACTTTCTCTAGAATTACTCCTCCCCCCCTTCATCTTAATGTGTACCCCATTCACAAGCTTTTAACTCCTCGGGGGAATCATTGGTCCCCAGGAAACCACCACAAAGATCCCCTAAAGCTCTCATGACACTCAAGCACAAAAGTAATAAAGGTAGACCAAACACTTTGATCTAGATGTATTTTGATTCATAAATTTCCTCCATCTCTAGGAAAAAACAACCTGCACTTGCCGCTCACTAGTATATCATAGGAGGGTTAGTACCCATCCTCCAAGGACCATTTCTCAGCACCCAATCTGCAACTTCCCTCGAAGGGAAAATGAAAAGAAGCAGCCCCTCAATCAATTTCTTCACTCTTACTCTTGCCTCCTTCCCCCACACTCTAAAGGCCCGATTCTCCACTTCTTCAACTTTTACTTCTTAATTCACCATACAATTTATCAGAAATTCTCTCCTCGCATTTACTCCCTTTTCCTCCATCTCCAAGAAGGCGCAACCATTCACCTTTTTCAACAAAGTTCCCCGAAAGCTCAACCAAGCTCCCATTGTCCCCTCACATTCCTGTAGGAGAAGTTTCATTAAATTCCGACTCCATTTCTCCTGGAGTTGTACAATGAGTCTACCCCCATCTTCTATCTCCATTTCTATAACCCCGAAAACCTCCTCTGAATGCCATGAAAATTAATTGAAATCAGAGCGAAGTTAAATTCTGAACGCCGAAAAGATAATCATCACAGTTGGAAAGAAATGAAACAAGAATTTTTAGTAACAACGCAAATCAATATTGTGTGGAGATAATCAACCTAACATGGGTTTTCTATGGAACAGAAGGTAGAAATGTAGCAGAAGAGAAAGCTTCGCTTAGTCAAACAAAAACATGTTTGCATTCTAAGCATCTAGGGGCTTCGGCTTTCCAAGAATGAGTAACACGAATAAAGTCCTTTGGAGAAAAACAGTTATGGAGATTCCAAGAATTGGCAATTTGTATTTTGGAGAAGGGTGGTTGCTGCTAAATATAGGGAATCATCTAATGGTTGGGCAACCACATTAGTGTCTTTTATAATTCAACTTATGGTGTTAATTTTTGGAAAGGTATCATGAAGATCTATGATGATTAAACTCACCAAACAGAGTTTAAGATGGAGAAATATGGGACCAAAATCAGATACGAGGAAGATGATTGATGTGATACAACTAATCATTGTTTTCTTTGTCCCAGACTACATAATTTCTCATGCTTAAAGTCCTTAGAGATGAAACATCTTGGAAAAAAGATCCCAAAGGAAGCTTTCTGTCCATTCCTACTATGTTGCTAGGATAGGGGTTTAAACAGAGAACAGATTTAGGATGCATTGGGGGGGAGGGCATGTGGGCGGTTTTTATTGATAAGGAGCTTATGATTGATTTTTATACTAAAAAATTACATCAAGAGAGAGAACTCAAAACTGATCGTCTAAACAAAACAATAGGGGTTTGCAGATCCATAACTGTTGTGCAATGTGCAAAGCAGCTGAAGAATTGGTCAATCATCTCTGTTGTTTGTCCAGCTACTTTATTCCTATGTGAGCTTTTCAGCTAAATATTTTAGGTTTCTTAGGCTTGGTTCAATTAAAGGAAGCGATTCAGGTCTAGCCTTTAGTTGCAATTGGTAGTTGTTGGGGGTGGGGGGGTTCAATTGACCGGTTTTGGTTTGGATCCAATCCGATCCAAACCTTATCAAATCGGATTTGGACAGTTCATTATAATTATTGGATTGGACCAATCCAAAATAAATTGGTCCATACTCTTATTGGTTTGAATTGGACTTAAACCAAATTTCCAATAATCCAATCATAAGGCCAAAATCCTCGTCCAATTTGAAATCAATCAAAACTAAAGCCAGCATAAAATCACTGTTATGAAAGTACTTTTGTGAAAACACTTTTACGAAAATAAAAGTACTTTTACATGAAAGCACTTTTATGAAATCACTTTTATGGAAGTACTTTTACGAAAGAACCTTAGGGAAGCACTTCTACAAAAGTACTTTTACAAAAGCACTTCTACAAAAGTACTTTTATAAAAGCACTTCTATGGAAGTACCTTTCTAAAAGTGCTTTTACAAAAGCATTTTTACAAAGTACTTTCAATAAAGTGCAAACACTTCTATGAAAGTACTTTTAACAAAGCACTTTCAATAAAGTGCAAACACTTCTATGAAAGTACTTTTATCAAAGCACTTCTACAAAAGTGCTTTTTCAATGCCAAAAGTGCTTTTATATAATTTTTGATATTTCATTCGGTTTAGATTGGATCCAATCCAATCCAATCCATTTACATTTTAATGGATTGGATTGGATTTGGACTGGATTGGGTCCAGTCCATTTGTAAGTTGACTCACATTGGACTGGATAGGGTTGGACCAAATCAAGTCCAATTGACACCTCTAGGGGGGACCATAGATATCTGCTGTTTTATATGGAAGAAGTGCAAAGGAATCTTTTTGAAAGGATTTTAGGGCCATGGACATTAGCAATTTTTTTTTGAAGATAAATAAAAAATAAACTTTATAGATAAAGAACGGAAAAGAGAATACAACAGGGTGATAAGGAATCACCCAGCAAATTTATCATGTACGGGGATCGTGTCCTTAGTAACTTCGTCTTTCAGGGATAAAGATTTTGCTTATAATTGGTTAAATCTTCTAGTGTAGGAGCAGCATACTACACTATCCATTGGTTAAATTCCGCAATTAAGTTGGGATGTTCATCCATTTCTAATGGATTTGGCTGCCCTGTCCATTGGTTAATTTTTACATTTCAATATTAAATTTGTATTTGTAAATCCAAGGGAAGAGGGTATTCAAAACCAACCTCAATTTTTTTACCCAAATAACCAATAGAACAATCCTAAAGAAATAAATACAACTCACCACTCACCATTCACCAACCAGAACTTCCTTAGCTCCATAACTAAAACAAAAACCCATCCAAAATTAATTTCTTTTGTTAAGTTCTATTGCCATTTTAATATCAACAATCGCTGCATCAACAATAAAAATGAACTTCCAAAAATAGAACAGTATGATTTAATACCATGGTTTCAAATATCGCTAATGTCGCCCGACATATGTCGATGTCGAGGCTCACTGATATGAAAGTGGATGGTAATATAAAAATTACATTATGTTGGTCGACATTTCCAAAATATAGGAAATGTCGACCAAATCGGTCCAAATAACCAAAAAAATACAGTTTTTCCTATTATGTGGACAAGATGTCGACTAATGTCAATAGGATGTCGACTAATGTACATTAAAAATATAATATATTAGTATATTATATTAATATAATACAGTATATTAATATAGATTACTCCATTAATAATTTCTATTTAATATTTCAAATAAAATATTTATAAAAAGAATTAACAAAATATAAAAACAAAATAATAAATTAATTACTTCATAATATAAAACATAAAATATTTTTTAAGTAATAAAAAATTAACTAGTTAGTATTTTTTAAAATATTTATAAAAATCAGAAAATGTTTCTTAAATTTTATAAAAAAACCATATTCTACATTTAATATAAAAAAATCAGAATAAGTTTAATAAATTTTATATAAATCATAATTTATTATAAATTTAGTATTAAAAATCATAATAAATTCATTAAGTTTTATAAGAAATCAGAACTTATCATAATCTTAATACTACAAAAGGGAAAATCAGTTTATTAAATTTATAATAAAACATAATGTATTATAACTTTAATATTTAAAAAATCAGAATAAATGATGTATTTCTATTTACTAGTGTGAAATAAATATATTAGAATTTATAATAAATCAGAATTAAAAATAAGAAAAGAAAATATCAGATAATCTTGTAAAAACATCAAAATGCATAATAAATCAGTAAATCGTCATTTACTAATTTGTTATTGATCTTAGTTTCTTAGCTTTATATAATGGTTGGGAATAAGATAATAGTCTAGAAATATGTATTAATGCTTCTTTTTATCATTTTACAAAATATCTTTGCATATTTCCACAATGTCCCTAATTTTTACAATATTTCCCCTCGACATTTCCGACATTTCCAACATATGTCCTATATTTTGGTAAGCGACATTTCCATCGACATCGACATTTTAAACCTTGTTTAATACTGCTAAGAGTAAATAGAATATCAGCTAATTTATTATACAATTTTTCTAAAGATAAATAAAAAGGTAAAGTTTATAAAAGAAGACCTTTATGAAGACGCAATTCCCCTGCACTTTGCTTCTTGACAGGTGCCCTTCCATTGGCATTTTCAGACATTTCCCTTTGCTTTTCCTTGACTTTAAAGAGCTTAATCATTGTGTCTACAACTAAAAGAACAAAAATTAGTCCCTAAAATATCCCAGATACTTCCGCAAGATAGTGCACTTGTGCAGTTTATAAACTTTGATTTTCTTTCACTTTGGGAAGTTTCTTTTTTTTTTTACTTTTAAGAACAAATTACCTCTATAAATAAATGGAGTAGAATAAAGGGAACCACAATTCTTGTACAAAACAAACAACAAGCACAGTACAATTCAGAGAGTTCTAATTAGGACTCAAAAGAACAGAAGCAAAGGAAAACATCATATTCAAATTCTTATCATCATTTCTACAACTGACAGATTTAAAAATAACAAGTACATGACAATGCCTCTCTCCAAGAAAAGTGCAATGTACCAGAAGCAAGTTTAACATACATGCTCAAATGAGCAAAAAAAGTACATCCATGCCACAAAAGATTTTTATAACTTCAGCAGAGACCCTTTCAAGCAAAAATATAAAAGAGTGGATTAATCAATAAATTAATTAGAATAGGTTCAAAGCAGAAGGTGCAAATTGCTATCATGAACAACACTAATAATATCATGTCAATAAGACTTCTTAGCACAGACATTATTTAAGCACAGGACATTACACCAATCATAGCAATATAGGGCTCCTAGTGGCCCATATAACTGCAGGTAGCCAAATATTTTGGTTCCTGAATCAACTAACTAGTTCTTGTTCCTTTCTTTTGCTGTGTCTTATCATTTTGGTTGTTTGGTTTTGATTTTCATGAAAATTGGCACACCAAGACAAGTTAATGATTGAATCTTGCAAAGGCATGAGGATATTAGGAGAGCCTATGCTACCCGTATAAGACCTGTGTACTGAAATCTAAAAAAAATGCATGACAATGCTATACCTGCAGAAAGCCAATTTTAATAATTCAAGAATGAGAGACATACGGACTTCTATAAAGCAGTCCTCAATTGGACAACTAATGATTATGCCACCTATGCCCTAGATATTAGCATTTTCAGAATTTTTAGATTCTGTCCAAGCAATGTTAGTCATTACACAGCTGATGGCAACTTGGCGTTGACTTTCCTGACAGATGAGATAAAAGCCAATATTAAATATTTAATTTCCCCCTCCTTTCTTTATAAGAAAGGTAATAAATTCTAATAAATGAGGCAGGGAAAACCAGTGTCAAACAAAATGTAGCCACAAGTGGTGTCCATATGTAGTGACGTATATTTGTCATCCCACCCAAACAAAGAGATGCTCTCAAATTTAATCTTTCAGTCTTTCATAGAACTAAGCATGAACTTTCTGATGCCATCAACCACTTACAAAATATTATGTTTAATTATAGGAACCCTAGCATTCTTCTCTTTCCAAATGCCATAAGCAGATAATTTCTTATCATAATTTTTTTTGAGAAAAAAATATCATAAATTGCAGCAACCCCTAAATGATCATTCCCCTCAGATTAAAGCATGGGCTTTACATCTTAAAACGAGCTCCGTCATGCTTCTTAGTAAAACCCAAGTCATGACAAATAAGTTGACAGACATAAAGAACATCAGATGGTCTCTGAAGAACACCATGGAGGAATAAATGCTCCACTGACTCAGAAACCATGTTGCACATAAAACATATATGGATATGAGCATCTATTTCCTTGAGATGAGGTTATCTAAATCAAGATCTGGTCAAGCAAAAAAGTCCACATAATCAAAGCCCCATTAGAAAAGAGTTCCATACAAACCCAGATGGATAATACTAGTGACCTGTTTCAAAACAACAGGTCCTTTAGAGCCTAAATCCAATTAATTCAGATCATCTACATAGATCCTGTTTCACAATTCCACTCTATGCAACCTTGCAGCAATTTAGCCTTTCTCACCATTACCAGACAAAATGCATGTCTGCACCACTCATCTAATTCACTGTTGGATGCACTAAATTACACAACAAAGCCGAAAGAAGGCACCAAATATATACTTGACACTTATTAAAAACAGTCAATGAAGATACTTAATTGACTTTCTAGTGTTGTTTACTTTCCTTTTCATGCTGCTTGAATTTCAGGCTTTGTAATCTGACTATCTGAGGCATTTATGGATGAATGAAATTTGCCTAGCAGGATTCAATAATAATAATAACAACAACAAAGATACTGAATTGACTCTTCATACAGAATTCTTTAAGTTGAACACTCCAAAATTGTGGAATATACCGTAAATCAAATACAATAACCTCTGAAACTATATATCACCATCATCCAAGCCTTATCCCAACCATATGAGGCCGGCTACATGAATCCTGTTTCGCTATTTCATTCTGTTTAATGCCATATCCATTGTTAAATTACGGGTGCAACCTCTGAAGCCATATATAAATATTATTCAAACCATTAGTCAAACATAAAACCCATCTAAACGAGTAGGAAATATTTCCTATTATCGATCAACCTCACCACAAATAAACGGTATAAACAGATCATCCAACCAAATCTATCTTCTAATTTTATCATTTGAAGAACTAAGAACACATAAAGCAATTAAACGAATAATGCTAACTATCATAACAACTTCCATCATAAAACCTCCAAAACAATAAATAAATAAATAAATAAAACAATAAAGATATGAACAAGATCAAACTACACAAACAAGAACTCGATAGAGTGTATTATGGAACGTAATGAAAACCCTAAGGAGCCCATGAAACATAGCTCCAGAGGAAATATAATAATAATTAAAATGAACTTGTGAACCTGAATCGTTTTGGCGGCAGAGCGTTGTCAACATTTAGGGTTCCGAACAAGCATACACAAGAAATACCCAATTGGAAGCAGTGAAGCAGTAATCGAATAAAAATATATGAGAGGTCCCAAAGATAATGAATAGGAGGTGGCGCTAATTACCTGGTTGAGGAAAAACCGCAGATAAACAAGGGAGAAAGGACAGAATCTAGAACGCGGACGACGAGAAAAAGGTGGAAGTTTTGGGAAGCACTCTTGAAAGAAGTCCGTCTGTGTGTGTTTAAATAAAAAGATTTCTTCTTCTTCCTTCTTTCTCCCTCTTGCCTTCTTCTCTTTCTATTCCCCTCTTTTTTTTTTCTTCGGTATTTTATTTTTTCTCTCCTCGTCAATAATCGACTGGTCATGTCATCCACCAGAGCAATTTTTGTTTCACCAGGATCGCCCTAACATTTTGGTGCAATGACAAGAGTGCCCCCTCCCAGTACTCACTTCTCAGGTGAGCATTCCGTTTATTCGATTAAAAATCGAATCGAATAAATTAAAATTTTTAAAACCGAAATAAAATAATGAAAACGAAATTAAAATCGAATTATAAGAAAATCGAAATAATCAAAATTAAAATTTTCAGTTTCATTTTTAATTAAAATCGAATTTAATTAATATATTATATAATATAATATATATTATGAAACTGAATTTCATTATAATATAATATTATATATTAAAATTCGGTTTTTTTATTAAACGAATTTTTAATTCATCAAAACTGAATTAGAATTTTTAAAAATTGAATTAACTAAAAAAAAAACAAAACCAAAACTTTCTATTTAATTTTTCAATTTTAACGGAATAATGCTTACCCCTTGTTCCCACTTCCACAGTTTCACTGTTGCGCTGGTCCTGGTCTGAGAACAATTAATGGTTCAGAGTTCAGTCGATATTTGGTTTGATAGAAAACAAGAGATACCGAAAATTGTTTAGTTTCTCTGTTCGATAATAACTTTCCCTCAATGTTCTGTTTCTTTGGTATTTTCTATCAAACCAAACACAGTCCCAAGAAAAGAAAGGAAACATGATTAATGTATTTTGGGAGCATCTCACAACGCTTCTACAACATATCTCCACCGTGTATTGTGAACATTTCTCGATGATATATCTGCCGTGCACTGTGAATATCTCATCGGGAGGAGGCGTTGTGGCGAGCAATCTTATGGGGGCTGATTTGAACTGACGGATTGGAACTTTAGAAGGGGCCCACATTAATATACAGTCCAATCAAGACGTCTCATGATCTGATGTCAGGACGGTGTCGGAGTCACGTGACGCCATTTCCATTCGGATGGAATCCTCCTCCAATAATTGAAAGTTTGAACAACGTCGTAACTCGTAAGGTAACTTCATGCTGGAGCCGTTAGATTGGAATATTTTCTTACGAGAGTTGATACAGTAAACCATGATAAAAAGGAAAAACAATACTGTAGATCGCATCTCAGTTTCTTCACTAGGCAGTAGGCACTGTGCACTAGCTGCCGTGAAGAAGTGTAGAAGCCCATCCAAGCACATGATCCTCGTTCACTGGCCCTAGTCATCTAGTCAATGGTATTATGCATCTCAAACGGATTTCTGATTCAATCATCTACCATGATACTATCTTTCATGATCATCTGATACCTTTATTTTACATGACATGATGCTGAGTTGGCATTTCCAATGTTTTAAAAATCGGCCCGGAACCGAAATTGCTTTATTCACCGGTTTAAGTTAATCGTCCGATCTAAAAATAACAAAATAATTAAAATAAAAATAGCAAAAAACTGAGTTAATGATTCCACCACCTGATCGAATGAATAAATAAATGACAAATCAACAATTTTTGACAAAAAAATAGTTTATAGGTGAATAGAAATCGATTGTTTAAATGAATTTTAAATGATTCAAAAATCATCAATATTTCATCCGAAGCCCATCCAATCATTCATCTATAGCCACCTCTCCCCTAGTAAATACATAATAGGGGGTGGTACTTAAAATGAGAATGCTGAGGGCATAAAGATGAAATCCCCCAAACACAAACAAACAATTGATGAAATTGATGTTTCTGGGATCATCCTTGTATTTTTGGACTGGAGTAGTAGACTTCTCCCACATGATTCTTTTGGACAGCTGTGCTTAACTTTTTTAATATCTGTTTCTCCACCATTGTAGATTTTCCAATGTTGTGGTGCATGGAACAGTGATATTTTGATTTTAGTTTATTAATATTGTATACTCATCAATATAATTAGATAAGCTTCTGTTTGAATAATAATGACACTAAATGGAGCAGAATGGTCATACAAAATTCTGATAACCGACTCATATAATTGGGATTCCGAGTCATCAAGTAGATATTCTAAGAAAATGGCATCTATCGGCAATCAAAAATATCTCTTTTATATACATACATGGAATATTATCATGTGCCGCTTTCGATGTATTCATATTTATAGAATTTTTACTTTTCAGGAGATCTTATCTTTGTAGTTGAGATAAGGATTAGATGATGATTTTATGTTGAAATGGATATAAGCTTAAATATTAATGATTTCATTTTTCTTTTTCTGCCTCAACAAAAAGTGCTTCAAGCAATTAAATGGCAGCTCAAATACCATTGCATCGAAGAAGGAAAGAGGATTCTGTCTAGGCATATGGTGACATGAAGATTCTAGGGCATTACTAAACTTCTAGTGACGGTGGATTTTGGAATTTTTGTACTTTAGAATAAAGTATTTCATTACTGCTAAAAAGAAGAAAGAAAGAAAAAGAATAAAGCATTTCATGCTTTTCACAATAGGTGGCAAATTCTTATCTTTCCTTTGTGGTGGGAGGTCTTCACTCCTGGAGCTGTCTTGTGTCCTACCTTTGAGAAAATCTATGATGGTAGAAAGATATTATATTCTAAGGCCTTGTTCGTTTTTCGGTAAGTTGTTTACCCAGGTAAATGGATTATTTGGGTAATTTTTTTCTAGAAAACACTTATCCGAGTAAGTGCATTTACCCGTGTTTTTTTATTTCTCATGTAAATAAGGCAATGACCATTTTAGCCATAAAAATTCATTATTAGAAGGGGCATTTTTGTCCCATTTAAGTGTTGGCAACTTTCCCCCTATGTGGGAAACTTATTGCCCACCTAGGAGATGGGTATTACTTACCCAAGTAAGTGATACCCAGGAAAATAAACTTTCCCTAATCCCCACAAAAATCTAAAAAAAAAAAAAACATGGGATTCTTGGTCAATGGGAACCAAAATCCCATTGACCAACTTTCCCCCCTCTCAAAATCCGAAAAAAGAACTCCCCCTAAAGGCTTTGACCAATTACAACCCTCATAAATTTTCCAAAAAATTCGCTTGATTGTTTCCTATTTTTATAATCCAAATCGCGGCCAAGGGAGAAAAATGGGTCATATTAGGATCATTGATGAAGGAAATAGCCTGTAACGAGTCTAATTCAATGATTACCCTCGAAATGTTGTATCTACGAATCTTCTCCCAAACCGGCCTAATTTTAGAGTTCATGCACACAAAGCAGAGTCGCAGGACAATCTTTTCCTATATGTCCAGAGGATCAAACCTGTATTTGATCATGCCATCGATGAATGGGATGGAAACTAGCATCACAATTAATCTATATCTACTATAGTGGAGATGCATCCCAATGGTGGAGCCAATTAGATGCCTGCCTCGAGGGGGGAGTTCCCGTCACCAAAGACTTCTAAACATTTTGCTATGAGTGCATTAGTTTGTCAACAGGTTTGGATTGGACATGGGTGGCAATTCTTAAAAACAAAGTTGTTCCTTGCAATCCAATTTTTCCAACAAAGAATAGCCACCTAGAGTAACCAAACTTTTGGGTTAATGGACGCACCTCTATTTACTTGAACCATCCAAAGTAGCCACTCATTGAAGTTTCTAGTATAGGAGTTTTGAGATTTGATGTTTACCGTGGAGGCAATCCAAACTGCTTTGGCAAAATCACACTGCATCAAGCAATGCAAAACATCTTCTTCAACATTTTGGCAAATTTGACAAAGACCACATTCTTTAATTTTCTTTTGATGAAGAGAGTTGTTAACAACCAAGGCATTTAGACATGCACATGATGATGCGCGATTTGGTCGCTCCCTGCTAGAAGACAGTTCGGACGACAGACTGCTATGTGGCTGGGTCGAATTGCAAGGCAAGAAGATTAAAGTTCCTAGGGTGCTTTATCCGGTGTGAGCACTTCGATGCTTAAGTTAGCGAAAGAGATTGTAGAGAGTTGATTGCTTTAAGAGTACTAGATTGCAAGAGATAAATCACGCATACCTTGTGAGGATAGAGGCGATGCCTTTATATAGGTGAGCTACCATAGGCCTCATGATGCGTGTCCGAGCACCAACCCGTTTAACCCAGAGTCAGTTCCGCACCCAAAGATGAACTTTGAGTAAGCTGATAAGGCTTATCCAGGTTTGTCCAATTTAGGCATGATGAAGATAAGATTCGTTGGCGTGCAGCATGATCTCGAGGAGATTTGAGACAATTGGTTCGCTTCTAGAAGGAGGCTACGTGGTAGTGGCACCTCAGCAAGTCGATGAGTGTGTCAAGTTGCTCGGGCCCCAGTCTTGGCTAAGTGACCTGTGGTGCCCGAGGTGATTAGGACTGCTGAAGTGTCGCCAAGTCATTGCGTCGCTCCAAGTGTCATCGTGTCATTGGACAGGCCAAATTATCCCTCATCACACGCCATATGAAGTTTTTGATTTTCATTTGGGGCTTTCAACTTTCATAGGTGCTTCCACATCTTGATTTGATCGATGTGATCATTACTAGCCGCCAGGTGTTGTCTATTTGGAATTATTTCTTCATCTGAATTCCATGCTAAGTGATAATCAAACCTTACAATATACTTTTCATCGGAAGTAAACCTCCATATGAGTTTATCTTCTGATTCAATCCTAGAGGAATATTAATGAAATTCTAGCACTCCCTTCTATTGAACAAAGATCTGATTAGTTGGGTATTCCAATGTCTGGACCCGTCTAAAATAAAATACTTAAAGATGTTGACATTACAATTTGGAGGCTTTATGGAAGTACTTTTATAGTCTAGTAAGTTGGGAACTCAAGGATCGGTCCATGAGTCCATAAAGCAAACTCGTCCATCCCCAGGAGGGGGAACTCCCACGTTTAACCTATAGGAGGGAATTGTGGGGATAGTATATGCATTTGATCATAGTAGCCCGAGCTAAGGATTCTCCCTGCAGTAAATGCCAAGCTGATTTGGCCAGCAGTGCCTAGTTAAAGAGGTCTAACCATCTGAAACCCAAGCC